GGGTGGACGACTAACCAGTGTCCTCCTCTATGCTAACCATTAACTATTAGTCTAATTAGCAGATGTACATTTGTGGTCCAAGTATCAATTAATCTCCTGTTTGTTAATCACATGATATTAATAATCTAAAATATTAGTTTCTAATGAAATGATGGACGTCATGGATGGGTTAATTAGTTAGTTAGTTAGTCAGTTAGAACACATCCTAGTTGCTCTAAATTAGATCAAATCTAATTTAACGTTCAATTCTAATTCTTAAAGATAAACCTAAATTGATGCTCAAATCATTTCATTAATCATAACTTGAACTAATTAAACCAGTAAACCAGACGGTAACACCAGTTAAGGAGACACGATTAAATCAGTCAACCAGACAGTCACACTGGTTAAACCCGCTTGACAGTTACATTTACTAGACACTAAAACCAGCTAACCAGAGACTAAAACCATTAAACCAGTTAAACACAAAGTTACATCAGATAACCCAGCAGTTAGACATTAAAAACAGTTAACTAGAAACTTAAAGCAGTTAACCAGACAGCTAAACCAGTTAACTAGACAGCTATGTTTATCAAACTAGTTAACTAGGAAATACTGCTATTCAACCAGAACATTAAACTTAGCCAGACGGTTAAAGCAGTTAACCAGACAGCTAGACTGGTAAACCAGATGACTAAACCAGTTAACTAGACAATTAAACCGGTTAAGCAGACAGTCCAACTTCTATTGAAACTAGCTAACACGATGGTTAGTTTCAGGAAAACGGTTAAATAGACAATTAAAATACTTTAAGTTACCCACAAGGTTAATCTCTATAAACCAGTTAAGATGTAATTAAACCAGTTAGCCAAACAATTGTATAGTTTGCCAGCCAGTCAGGCAAACACCGCTTAACCAGACATTTAACCAGTGAAACCAGTTTACCAGACAATTAATAAATTAACCAGATAGTTAAACATCTAAGCTGATATTTTAACCAAATCATCCAACAACTAACCAGTTAACAAGAGCTTTTCAAACCAGGTAACCAAAATGGTAAACCAGTTAATCAGCTGAGTTGGTTAACCAGACAATGAAAATAGTTAAGAGCGGATAAATCCATCAACCCATTTAACCAGACAGTTACACCAGTTAACCTGAAAGGTAAACTAGACCAGGTAACCTAGTTGGCCTGATAGTTAGACTAGTTATCCAGACAGAAGCGGTTTAACCAACCAGAACTCTACAGGGCAGCATCTTTAAATTATTTTACTGGAAAGAATCAGAATGGAACTGAACGCAGACCTACTAGCGTTGCTGTGGTACTAGCTCCGCCCCCCTTGACCTTTGAACTCCCTACGCCCCCTCTGTGAGGACTAGACCTAAAGCAGACAGATGGTACCCAGGGGGTGCCGTGTGTTCCTCTGACCTGTCAGCTGCTTGTCGCCAGCCGCCGGGGCGACGCCCAGGTACGGCGTGGTGAGCTGCGTGGCGATTATGGCGGCTGGAGGTCCAGGAAGGCGTGCAGAGAAAGTGAGAAAGACAGAGACAGGCTGAAGCAGAGGCTGGTTCTGATCCGATAGCGGTTAGTCTGGGACTCTGGTTCTCCTGGAGGTCCATGATGGACTGATGCTGGGCGCTCCACAGGATCAGAACCCAAACTCCCATGGTCCGAATGACGGACCTTCCCAGGAGCCGGAACCGCAGCATCAGGAACCAACCTGGTTCAGGAGAACCAGGTCCGATCGGGTCAACAGGAAGTTACAAAGTCCAAGAAGGAAACCTGCAAGAGAAGCTGGTTAATCAGCCAATCAGAGATTAGTAAACAGGCCTGCAGTGGCTTCAGCTCTCTGGTTCTGATGGGCCACCAGCCGGGAAGAAGCTCTGACCCAAAGACCCGGTTCAGGACAGGCTGAGCAGCTCCAGAACCGTCAGTGAGCCGGGTCCACACAGGAAGCTGTCAACAGGACCTTTCAAAATAAAAGCTATGAAGGCCTTCATTGGTGGCCTATAGGTGGAAGGTTCATTCTAGAGGTCTCCACTCCACTCTAGGCTGTAGAATCTATGTCAGACCTCTCTGAGGTTCTAGATCTATGATCTGTGGCCTCCCAGAGATGGAGGTGCGACCCAGAGGGCATCAGCAGGAGTTCCTGGTTCTGTCTATGGGTGAAGTTCTGCCAGTGGTTCTGGGTCCAGAAGAACGGGCAGAACCTCTAAGTGGATCATTATGTTCGCCATCTGCAGCAAACATGTCCTGCCCAGGAGGGACGGACAGACAGATGGACAGACAGAGGCACAGACAGATGGACAGACAGAAGGACACATGAACAGGCAGAGGGATAGATGGACAAACAGATGGACAGACAGGCAGACAAAGGGACAGAGGACAGGCTGAGGACAGAACCCAACTCAGGACAGAACCCAACTCAGGACAGAACCC